TTTCATAGTGTGGAACCTCGGAAACTTGGACGATTACAGAGTAAAACAGGGATATGTCATTTAGCCAGAAGGTCCTCTACTTAACGACTTTGCAAAGATGCTTGCGGTCTCCATGGTTAACCCAAACTTATTCTTTCTCAAACATTGAAGTTTTATGTCCAATTTTATTATCATTCATCTCTTGCATGCTCTTTTTCTCCTTCAATTTTTCTCTGTTAAAACATTGCTTGGCTGTGCATTTCGTCCCTTGGTTCTTCATAAGATCTTTGGTTTCACTATTATCTTTTACTTGACATGTTTGAAATACACAAGACATACTCACCGACTGAATTAACAATTAAGATACTATCAACGAAATCAAGACACTCACTAACTTAATGGAACAATTAAGATACTATCAACGAAATCAAGACACTCACTAACTTAATGGTAAATGATAAAAGTTAGACATCCAATACATCAGATATCTAACCTGAATTTAAGATATCAACTATTTACCAGTAAAGTTTGAACCAAAAACCAACCATTCCTGCGGCTTCAGTCGTAAGACTAATTACTTCATCCGTTGGTCGGATGCCTGAAGTACTTTTTTGTAGCAAAAATTCAATAAACAAAGAAAACCAATTATTTGTATAGTTAGAATTCTCCACATCCCCAAATATAGAAAGAAAAATAAAGAGAAACTCTTACACCATAATTGAAAAAGTAGCTGTGCTTTGTTTACTTGCCTTGAGATTGGCATGTTAACCTGACAGATGTAGAAGAGTAATTTAGTCTAATCTGCTTTATGCAAGATGCTATAGTTAAAACTTTTATGAGGCAGGGGATTGAGAAAACTGAAGGATGGGTTTATAATGAGCTGAAAATTGCAACTTTGAGTCTTAGTGCAACTGAAACCCCTCTAAAATTCTAGTCATTCAGGGAGGTGGAAATTGCAACTTTCTGTGTCGTCGTTTGAAGAGCACACTTCTTTCGAGCACATGATTGAGTCGCTTGCTCATAATTTCACTTCACTTCTGCCATCCTCCATCTCTGTGTGTTCCCCTTGGACTTCACTCCTGAAACAATTACCCTCACGTCGCATCGCTTCATTGATGTAAGCAATGACTTATAATAACACTGGCTTAAAGAATGACTTTTCAATCTTGACCTCCTAGTTAAGTTGCTCCACCTTTTTTTCCAGTAAATTTTCCCAAAAGGTTTATTTGTGCATTATCTTCCAAGCCTGTTCTTTGTTGTTTCTTATTTTCTTTTAATTTTCTTCGTACAACACCTTTTGTAAGTAACTCATTTAAGATATGCTTCTTCTTTCGTAAAAGATATGTATTCTCCAAAAGCAAAAGGGAATTGATGATTGATGAAATACCATCTTGAATGGCTGAAAATAGAAGTATAAAAAGGAAATCTATTATGGGCATCTCATAGTCATCTCAAGAGTCTTTTACCCCTCTTTTTAATGCGTACTATTTTGTAAAAATTGCATGGGTCGCCCTATTTGGTCGCCCCTTTTTAACTTATACCCGTTTTGTTTTTCCGTTTGCATCCGTACCTATTTTTTTTGTTAAAAGTATTTTAAAAAGACGATTTTGCCCTTCTTTAATAAAAGACTATTGACAAACTGCATGACAAAAACTTAAGCATGTTTAGGCTGAAATTTTAGCAAATAAACTAAAAAACTTCAGCTTGTTTAGACTGAATTTCGGATAAAACTGTAGACTGCGTTATAAAACTTCAACATGTTTTGGTATGAAGTTTTAGCAAATAAACTAAATAACTTCAGCATGCATTAGCAAAAACTCTTTTGAAAATTACACAGTGCAAGACAAAAACTTAAGCATGTTTAGTATGAAGTTTTAGCAAATAAACTAAAAAACTTAAGCATATTTAGTCTGAAGTTTTAGCAAATGAACTAAATAACTTCAGCATATTTTATATGAAGTTTTAGCAAATGAACTAAATAACTTAAGCATGCATTAACAGAAACTCATTAGAAAATTACATACTACAAGACAACAACTTAAGCATGTTTAGTCTGAAATTTTAGCAATTGAATTAAAAAACTTAAGCATGTTTAGTCTGAAATTTTAGCAATTGAATTAAAAAACTTAAGCATGTTTACTCTGAAGTTTTAGCAAATGAACTAAATAACTTAAGCATGTTTGGTCTGAAGTGTTAGCAAATGAACTAAATAACTTAAGCATGTTTGGTCTGAAGTGTTAGCAAATGAACTAAATAACTTAAGCATGTTTAGTCTGAAATTTTAGTAAATGAACTAGATAACTTCAGCATGTTTAGTCTGAAGTTTAATCAAATGAACTAAATAATTTCAGCATGTTTAGACTGAAGTTTCGGATAAAATTCATGACAAAACTGTAGACTGCATGATAAATAATTTCAGCATGCATTAGCATGAAGTTTTAGCTTCAAGGTGAAACAACTTCATGCAAGTGTGATTCTGAAAATGAATCTGGACAAATTTCTGATTTTTTTTATAAAGTTGTTGAGAGGAGAGAAGGAGATCGTTTTATATCTTTTGCCAGGGGTGTAATTGTCATATTATTACGGTTTTTTATGAGATGGCTACCAAATCAATAATTTTAAAAAATAGGGTACAAATTAAAAGGTGATACAAATATAGGGTACGACTGCAAATCCCCCTACTATTTTGTGTTCAAGCTCTTGTAAGTATTTTTGTTATTGGATCGAAGCGACAAATAGCTGAAGTAGTAAGGTCACTTTGTTATATTTTTTAAGTATTTGATGGTAATAACAATCACTGAATAATTATGTCAAATTAATAATTCGTTTAGGTTTCTGTAATCGTTAAAATCTAGAAACTCTTTGTTAAGTTTCTACTGCTATCAAATGAGATGATATTGAAGAATATAACAAAGATGCTTTCTCGTTGTTTTTTGAGTAAATTTCAAGATTCTAAAAACTCTAAAACGCAATACTTTGGAATATGATTGAGACAGAAAATTGATATGTTCTTGTTGATGCCTTTGAGCAATTAATCAATCGAATAAAATAATTGGTCTATCCTATTCAAACACAAATAGCATCAGATAAAAATATGTTAAAAAGTCACTTTGGACAAGTTTCCCAAAAAAAGATACCAATCGGATAATGTTTTTAATAGGTTAGAGCGAGAAAAGTCTATAAATCCTAGATTATGTCGTTGTTGAGAGTTGAAAATTTCACCTTAAAAAGATAATCCGAATTCCTATAAATCCTTATAATTTTAATTAAAATAACTAAAATGCTCTTCAACATTAGCATGTATTTAACGAACATAAAAGAACATATAACGGTACCTAACTGAATCCCAAACATTACTATGTTGAAAGTCATATTTATTCGTAAACGTAGCTAAAGGACTAATTAATAGTTATTGCATCCAAAATTAATTAAGGGATACACGTTTACTTTATCCTTTACATAATTTAATCAATACGTTAGAAATGTCAACTATTGTAGGATGATCAATTCTCATTTCCTTAATTAAGATTAAGACTAAAAAAATAAAATAAACTCAATGGCAACTAGCTTCATGCCTTTCTCCTCTAAAGAGATATTTCAGACATTATTAAATACTAATTTACAAATTCTACCATGATTTTGTCAACTTGTCACGCAAACAATTACCTATTTTGTTCTCCTTTTCCCTCTATAAAAAACCCCACCCTATGATTCACTTTTCAACACAACTACAGCAAGAACTTGCTTTAGTGATTAAACTTTCTTTTTCAACAAATCTCCCAACAACAAATTAAGAAAATTAAACATGTCTTGCTGCGGAGGAAACTGTGGCTGTGGATCTGGCTGCAAATGCGGCAGTGGCGGAGGGTAAGTGTTTTGAATATAGATTTTGTGTCAATATGGCAAATACTAAAGTTCATCTGCAAATACTGATTTACTTCTCAGTATCTAAACTTTAATATTTGAAATACCGATGAGTCGCCTCGTATGTATAATACTTGATTAAAGTTATAGTAAAAAAAAATTGTGACTTGTGTTTTTATGATATTGTAGATGTGGGATGTACCCAGACTTGGAGAAGTCCACTACCTTTACCACCATTGAGGGTGTTGCTCCCATGAACAAGTACGTCTAATTTTATTTTTCCTTTGGTTTAGATATATTAGTAGTTTGAGGTGAAAATAAGGTCGAAAAAGTTATTAAAATTTGAAATTAGGAGGTTTTAGCTTATAATTTAACATGTTATTGTAGATTGCTTGACTTATTCTCAATGCTATTGAATTCATTTATCTGCATCTTCTTAGGCCCCGTTTGTCCATAAATCAAAAATGTTTATGTCCATGAAATTTTGCTAGTTTTTGAAAAAATTTCGAAAATGAGTTTTTCAAAATCAAAATTTTCAAAATTTTTTTTCCCCACTCACAAAATTGCAATATTTTTTCAAGTGAAATACATGTCCAAACATAATTTCAAATTCCAAATATAATTTTTCAATTTAACTCCAAATACTACTTTTTTTCAAAAATTACAATGTTTATGTCCAAACACCTACAAAGTTATCTGCTCAGCAGAGCCACAATATCAACTTGATGGCATTTGGATTTTAGAATGATGACTTCAAATATTAATACCTTTAACATGTGTATATATTTAATGAATTTCTTGACACAAATACATTATTTGAGTCATAGTCGGATCTAGAATTTTCAGTACATGGGTGCATTACTAACAATAAGGAGGAATAAATGTTTTAAGCGGGAATTGATCATTTTTCCTCTTGGTAAATAACTCAACCTTTAACCAAGTGTACCATTCAACCTTCTTGGAGCATGAGTGCCAACAGTTAATATTATACTAATTTTAGAAAATATCTAATTTTGATAAGAGACCATGAGTTCACTTGCCCCATAATCTCTCCTATAAATGCGACCATGGTTTGAACAAAAGCTATTAGGTTAGACAAAACTTGTGGCTTCTACCTCTGTCCCTGTTGCTTAGTGTATAGAATTAATTAAATTAAACTCAGACTACAATACTAAAAAAGATTACTTGAAATATATATTGCAGCTTTGTGGAATCAGGAGAGAAAGCAGCAGAAGGAGGAAATGGGTGCAAGTGTGGATCAAACTGCACCTGTGACCCTTGCAATTGTTAAGATAATCCCACTCCAAAAACTGCATTGTGTCTCTGTATTAAATGTGTTTTCTAAAAGTTATTGTAATTAATAACAATAAAACTACAACCATGGAACAGATCATGATCAGTTCTTAGGTTTGTGTGTTGCTGCTGTGACGTG